ACTCCCCCACCCCCTTCCCCCTCCCACCCACACCTGGATGAGCTCCTGCTGCTCCAGGTCCCACTTCTTGATTCCGTTATCTCGGGAGCCGCTGAAGAGGACGTCTCCCTGGATGGCGAGACACTCGATGCCGTCGTAGTGTGGGGGCTCGAAGTTGTGGGTGGGGCCGACAGTGCCCGTCACACACTCGCCCAGCTCGAACATCTGTGGGAGGAGGGGTTGGTAGTGGGGGCGCAGTGGGGGAGCAGGGAGGCCAGGGCTCACAGCACTGCTGTCCCGGGGGGCCCAGCCCTGGTGGCAGTCACTGTCTTCTAGGGACAGAAGCTTCCCCAACAGGTGAGGCCTCCTGCAGGAGGGACTGCTTCTTACAACAGACAAGGGACCCTGAATGCTCCAGTCTGTCTGTCTCTTTTTTTAATCAATAGTTAAAAAAACAAAAACAATTGAGAGTGGGAGTGACCCCTGGCACAGTATTAAGTGCAGTATGTGGGGATCCCACACGGCTGACCACGATTCGAATACTGACCCCGCAGCGTGGAAAACACGTGGGCACTATGTGTGCCTTGAACCCTGATGGGATGGGCAGAGGGAGGAGTGAGGAGCTGCAGCGTGGCCTCCCCGTTGGAGGGGCTTCGTTCCTCTGTCCCCGCTTTCTCCCTTCACCCCTGTTTCTAGTGATCACACAGGCCCTCTAGCTGTCACACAAGACGCTTTTCTAAGTTTATTTAGTAAACAGAGAGGCAGGTGGTCTTGACAGGCTCCATCACACCATGATCGCCCCCTGCCCCAGCCAGCCAGGACCTTGCATGTAGGTGTCTGGTGTGTTTCAGGCCGACCAGGGATCTGAACCCACAGCCAGCCACATGGCTTCCAGCATAGCAGAGCAATGCCTACCACCTCTGCCAGGGTGGCTGGGCCAGGCCCAGGGTTTGACCCTAGTCATGGAGATCGGGGCTGCAGGTGGGTGGAGACTGATTTAAATTAATGCAAAGGATGAATCAGCTGGTTAAGGAGACCCCACAGCTGTGAAGGAGAAAGGTGGGTTTGGGCATGAGCCTCCCCATATAATTCCTTTATCTTATTTATTTTCAGAGAGAGATTTTTGGTATCGGGTGTGTGTGCTGGTCAGAGAGACAGAAAGACAGAAAGCAAGAAATCACCACCCAGGGGCGATGGCCATGCTGTAATCCCTTTTCCACCATTTTCCTCTGGGGTGGGTACGCATGCACACGTGTTCAGCATGAGTTTTAAACCACCAGGTCTGGAACTCGAACCGTGGTTGACTCGTGGAAGTCCGGTGATATAACTGCTACACAGTCTGCTGGTCCCTCATTCTTTTTTTTTTAGTGAGTTAAATATAAGATTACTTTAAGTATTCGTAGTCCCACTCCCCTTCTCCCTGCTCCCTTCCTGACGTGCACACACAGCTTCAGGGCGGAGCTGGGAGTACGTGGAGGCAGGGCCGTTGGTGCGCGTGGCGTGTCCCTGCTTAGTTAACAGCGGCTCCGCATTTTCTGTAGTGCGCCCGCTGCCCTCCCCGCCGTAGGCATTGAGGTTGTTTCTGGCTTTTTGCCATCTACGAAGTGAGTTGTACCCCGAACCCTGTAACTTCTGTGCACGCCTGCTTGGGGGTGATCTCTTCACCACAACACCCCAGAGGTCTCAAGATCTTTTGGGGGGACTTCCAAGGTGACAGAGGGCACGGAGAAAGTGAGGAGGGGACACTGAGAGTGGCACCCGCCCAGGCCTGGCACACGGGGGCCTCAGGTACCTTAACGTAGTGGTCCTTGGAGCCAGTCACCACGAGGTCATGCTGGCTGGCGGTCTGGGTGACTGTCAGGCACATGACAGGACCGATGTGACCAGTCAGCTTGCCGACAGGCTGGAACCTGTAATGGGGAGAGACCCCGCCAGGGGGAGGTGGGTTAGAGAGGCCCTGGGTGGGTGGAGGATCGGCCCCAGAGCCAACAGGCCTGGCTGGGAATTGAACCCAGACACAGCAGTCCAGAGGGGAGGGTAGTCCAGCAGCACCCAGGAACACAGCAGAGATCCTGTGCACCTGGGGAGGGTCACCCCACTATGAGACGGGGCCTTCCCTGGGCCACATCCCTCTCCCTCCCTCCCCCAGGCCT